GGCACAGAACTACTGTGGGTAAGAAAGTGAGAAGAAGGCTAACTTCTCACTTTCCCACAGTGGCCACAATATGGCAAAACTTCTGGAGATATCTGGAGGTCACATGAGGAATGGGAACTGGGGCCTGGAGCATGCAGCATGCAGAGTGTGTGGGGTGGAGGGAGTGGGGTTAGGTGTGCAGTGATACATAGAGAAAAGTGCAACACATGTGGGTCCAGGCCTGGGCTAGTCAGGTGTGTGCCCTGACAGAAGCCAAACTCCAGAATATTGGCAAATGTAAATAAATGGAATTAGCTAACCAATACAGTGGAGGTGGGGTCCAAGGTTGGAGCTAAGACCAGAATTCCAAGATGGAGATGGAAACAGGATTCTAGAGTGGAGCTCTGGAGTCAGGAGCATAGATGTCATGTATTCATCTGGAAGGTGTCATGGTTGAGGTTGGACCTGGAATGGTCCAGAGTTGGACCAAAGGTGATGTTGGGGCTGGAGGTGGGATAACCTCTTGGGAGTCAGCAAGGGAGAGGATGGCAAAAGGGAAGTGGGGCTCTGGAGTCAGTTTTGGAGTTCTGGGAGCCCAGAGCAGAGGTTGGGATTGTATGGATATGACAATCCTCTACTGTCATCTTCAAAGGGAAAAGTTCCACTCCCTTTAGATGCTGGCAGAAGTAGCCCTATTGATGATGGCTCCCTGGATCAGTCTGGACATGTGCCTCCAAGGTTCCCATCTTCCTCATCAGCCACGATTTCACTGATTTCAACCCCATTTTCAACATCTGTGACTGGTTTAGCTCCCATTTCATCTGCCCCTAGCTCCCCTGGACTCTTTGCTTCAACCCTGCCTTCCTCAGGTCTTCATTTTAATTTCCAGAAAGCTGACTCTCTGTTTGTGAAGAGCTTTAAAGTTTAGACACCTTGGAAATGACATTGTGTCCCAGTTCACCCCCTGTGACCACATCAGACCAATCTTCTCTGAACCCACCCTTGTTCATGATGGCATAAACATATGATGATGGGCCTGCTCAACTAGGTGAGGCTGTCACTTCATTCAGTTCAGAACATTAAGTAAATGTCATCACATCCATTAGTGTAGCATCAAAATAAATGCAGGCCAGGTCATAGTGGATGGGGAAGCTGCACTTAACAAAGTTTACCACACCTACACCTCTGATGATTCTAGTGATGCAATAGTTGTATCTGGGGACTCTGAGACTGCAGACTTGGTGCCACATGATCAAGAAAACATTCACTTGATCACCTGATTTGCAGATCCAGAAGGTATAAAGGTGGGATTGACTGCTTCTGTTTCCTCTTTACCACCTTCTACCTTCAGACCTGATCAAGTTTCACCACCATCCTCTACCTTCAGAGATGAGTTTGGGACAGCTTTGAGGGTGTCAAGTGCACATCACTGACAGACTGCCCATAGGATGAATGTACTTCCAAATGAAACTCTTTGTGAAATTGTGGAGCATTGCAATGGCACACTCAAGACCCTACTTGCACTTTCCCTTGTTTCACAACAACTTCATGCTGTTGTTCAGTCACATTTACAAATCTGTTTCAATCATGGAATTGGATGGGAATATTCATTGATTTGTTCATACTCTGATGGTTCAAACAGATCTGGGGGAGTTGGTTCACCATGCAGAGATAGGGTGGTACCATTGGGGTCAGCCCTCAGTGGATCCAGAGGAAGTGGAGTCCATGTGATGAGCTGGGGAAGAGAAGGGTGTAGACCCTCTCTCTTGCCATCCTTGGGTCATGCCATGCATACTTTGCATTGCTGCTCCATTTGGTTCCCAACTTGAGGGTGCTTGTTAGAACGAGGCGGAAACGGACGACTCCGGAGTGGAATCGGAGACTTAGCGTGGAGGGACCTTGGCCTCAGCGACTCAAGCGGAGCGCTGTGCCATTGCTGTTTGTCCATTTGGTCCTTAATTTCACAGTAGGTGAGCAGGAAGTCTCTTGGGGGCATTTCAGGTCGATTTCGGACTGAAAACCAAGACGAGTATGTACAAGCGCCGATATATATAATGGAAGGGGCAAAAGCACAAAGAGAACAAAGGGTGACCGAATCGGAACGAAGACGTCCGAACGGGAACAAAGGGTGAAGGGAGCGGAGCGGTACCGAAGGTCACAGGGCAAGACCTGTGATACGTCCGAAAGGAGGTAGAGAGGGCGAGGCCCAGAGGGGCAGGAGGATGAGGGGAAGTGGGGATGATGACTAACTGGCTAGAATAGAAGGAAGCAGTAGTCCAAATAGGGATGAGGGGGAATTGCGAGAAATACATTACAAAACGGCGAGAGTGCCAGAGGCGGTCCGTGAAGCTGGGGGGTTGCGGAGCTTACGGAGCTTACGGAGGTGGGGTTGGAAGTCCGAGGAATATTGGCAATGGTGTTTACGTAGTATGAGGTCACCAATGCAATGGACTAAGACCGAGGTGGAGTCAAAGTCCGAGGTAGGGACTATGACGGAGGCTCGGAGTAAGGTACGAACGGTGTCCGAGTGTGAAGTATGGAGCAGTGGTGGACAGTCGTAACTTGGCAGAAGGGTAACGGAAGGAGGAGAGAGGGGACAGGTAAGGAAGAGGGAGTGGCGGAAAGGAGAGTAGTCAGGTCCGAAGGTGAGTATCGGAACGGACGGGGGAAGCGTAGGGGGATGATGGGAGGGTGGAGGTGTTGTGAGGGGGGAGCGGAGTTGTAGGAAGGGTGGCGAGTGGGGCGATGTTCAGTCCGAGATGAGTATTGGAACAGACGGAGAAAGGGTCGGAGAGGTAAGAGGAGGGGTGTGTTGCCAAGACCGAAGGTGAGTATCGGAACGGCAGCGGTAGGTTATGACTCCGGAGGTGAAGAGGGTGGAGGTCCGGAAGTCAGGTCGGGGTCAGGTATGCACGGATATGACAGTGCTATGTGTTTGCATACCAGAATCACCTTATTTCAGGCATGGGCCTGGAGATCTAACTGAATGGGTTGGCAGAAGGATTCCATAACCAGCACAGATGCCTTCCAGATCAGGCTACTGTGTTGTATTGATGGGCTTTTCAGCCCCTCAATGTGCATATCATATGGGGAGAATTGAGGTCAGTTTGGTACCATGCACATTGGGTTTAACAGAGCCCATGGAAACCACAATAAAGTAGTATGCAGTAAAGATGGCCTTACTGACTCCCTTTCCAAGCTTCCATTCCTCACTGCCTACCACTGGTGGAATGAAACTCAAGTGGCAGAGTTGATTAATTCAGAGGAATTTCAGCTTATCAGGTGCATTTCAGGTGTCATATCTGTGCATACCCGACCCCGACCCGACTTCCGGACCTCCACCCTCTTCACCTCCGGAGTCATAACCTACCGCTGCCGTTCCGATACTCACCCTCGGTCCTGGCAACCTTACCTCTCCGACCCTATCTCCGTCCGCTCCAATACTCATCTCGGACCAAACACCGCCCCTCTCGCCACCCTCCTACTCCGCTCCCCCTTCACAACACCTCCACCCTCCCGTCATCCTCCTACGCTTCCCCCGTCGCTCCGATACTCACCTTCGGACCTGACTACTCTTCTTTCCGCCACTCCTTCTCCCTTACCTTTCCCCTCTCTCCTCCCTCTGCTACTCCTCCGCCACCCTTCCGCCAAGTTACGACCTTCCACCGCTGTTCCGTACTTCACACTCAGACACCGCTCGTACCTTGCTCCGAGCCTCCGTCATAGTCCCTACCTCGGACTTTGACTCCACCTCGGTCTTAGTCCATTGCATTGGTGACCTCATACTACGTAAACACCATTGCCAATATCCCTCAGACTTTCAACCCCGCCTCCGTAACCTCCGTAAGCTCTGCAACCCCCGAGCTTCATGGATCGCCTTCGGCACTCTCGCCGCTTGTAATGTATTTCTCGCGTTTTCCCCTCATCCCTATTTGGACTACTGCTTCTTCCTATTCTAGCCAGTTAGTCATCATCCCCACTTCCCCTCATCCTCCTGCCCCTCTGGGCCTCGCCCTCCCTACCTCCTTTCAGATGTATCACAGGTCCTGCCTTATGACCCTCGGTACCGCTCCGCTTCTTCTACCCTTTGTTCCCGTTCGGACGTCTTCGTTCCGATTCGGTCACCCTTTGTTCTCCTTGTGCTTTTGCCCCTTCCATTATATATATCGGCGCTTGTACATACTCGTTTTGGTTTAGTCCGAAATCGACCTGAAATGCCCCCAAGAGACTTCCTGCTCACCTACTGTGAAATTAAGGACCAAATGGACAAACAGCAATGGCACAGCGCTCCGCTTGAGTCGCTGAGGCCAAGGTCCCTCCACGCTAAGTCTCCGATTCCACTCCGGAGTCGTCTGTTTCTGCCCGTTCTAACATCAGGGCCCTGCAGTTGTAGCTGGGGTTAACCCTCCTTTGGCCAGCTCACACCTAACGGAAATCCTTCAAACGTATTACTCAGGAGTATTCCTGAAGTATGATGGGTTCAGCAGGTTTGGGAAGGTCAAGAATTCCTCCATGTGAAACCCATAGCATCCTTGTTCTTCAGTGTTGCCATCAATGCATCCCTGAAGGGTTCAGAGTTTACACCCAGCCACCTAAGGATCACCATAACATAGCAGCAGGAGTCTGTGCAGTATATGTTGATGGTTATTGAATTGGAGGACCCCTTGATTGTTAAGTACGATGACTTGGATACCCAAGGTAGCATCAGATTCAAGTACCTGTTCCACTCCCCGAACTGGTTTGGGTGCTTTGTCCTCTGCCCAGGGCAAACATTGTAGGGTTTTTTTCCCTCCAGCGATTTTCCATGGTCATTAATCTTGTTTTCTAGCATCATGGCCCAGGGCCAGGTCCATTTTGTCTTCATGGTGTCAAAGGAAGACAAAGGAGAATTGAGCGTAGGGGCCCTGATGCAAGGGTCATTTTTCCTCTCACCCCAATGCATGGTTCAATCTTTGCATGCAAGTTGGGTGGACCAACTCCTTCAGTCACAAAGGGGCAGCCCCATGCATAGGTGCAACACCATGACAGCAATGCTAGTAGCATATGTCTTGGACTCATATCGATGGCTAACAAGTGGCTGCTCGTTGGTTGGGCAACCTGAGCCAAAAGAAGTGCTGGCTGTGATGTTCATGGCATTGATGTACTCCAAGGAAAAGGAGGTTGTTCAGGGGGCATGGTGTGTGATCCACCATTATGCCCATCTGCACCCAGAGGACTTTAGCGAATTCAGGTGTGAATTCAACAAAGTTCAGGCTGCCAACCTGCAGGGTGGTGGTGACATGTTCACTGCCCAAGAGGTGGAATTACTTTGTGGCTCCATGAAGGCTGCAGTCCAGGCAATGAGGGGATCCTAGAATTGATTGTTTTATATATATATATTAACTGAAGAAGAGCAACAGTACACAAAGATATGGCACGAATCAGCCATGGTATAATGAGTAGAAAGGATGATTGCTGCTTTTCAAGTTATGAGGCATGGGAAGATTCTGGGCGAGCAGCTCGCCCAGAAACAGTCACATATTGGGTGGTCACTGTACCAGAGCTGTCCAAATTGATATCTATTGTTCTTGTGTCCCAAGCTGCAAATGTGGTGAATCCACAGAAACATCCTGATGCTATATGCCGCATGCTGAGACCTAAACCTAGCCAACCTTTTTGGGATGGAAGAGGGTACCATAAGAGTAGTGAGCTTCCTCAACGTGAGTGGAGCATACAAAAAGAAAACCTCAACCAATGTGGTGCATTGCTCCTCAAGAGCAAGCATGTTATGGAAATGGGAATTTCCCATTTTAGACTCTTATGGGTTCTGTATCACATGATTTGTATAGTAATTGAGTTTATCCAACGAATAATCAACGAAAAACCCGCTGCCACACTACCTGTTAAACTACATGTTAAACCATCTGTGAAACCATCTGTAAACCCTAATGAACCACCTCCCTTCCCCTTTCCTTTTCCCTGTGCCTCGAACAGACGAAAATGGGCGCCTCCAGCCCCATTTTTGTAACAAAGCATGTAGGTTGGTGTTGCCATAACAGGCTGAAATGCCTCCTTCCTTCTCTGGCTTCTAACTGGTAAGTTTCCCTGTAGCGTGATGGGACCTGTAACTCATGCATGCTGATCAGATAATGCTGGTGTCTGCAAAATTACTTTGCATTTTCCATTGATTCATTGTGCACGATCTTGTGAGTCTATCGCAGCTGTGAAACACTCACTTGGTCACTAAGGCACTTGGCCTGGCTTCTTCCTTAGTTCTCATTCTGAGTCTTGCCTCTTTTCTTTCACGCATAACCTTGATCTCGATGATCTGAGTGCTGCGAGTTACTCAACATATGTCACATGATGAAATCACAGGGACCAGACCCACTGAACGCATCAAGTTGCCAACCTGCACAGCCACCCTCCAACAGCTCGATAATGTGGTTGGCATAAGTCAATTACCTCCTCTGGAGGTGAGAGATCTTAAAACCCTCAGGAACCAGCCCTGAAGTGGTTGCTTTTTCAGGATCATGTTGATCCTCATCATCATCCGACAATGGCTGTTTCTGCAAATCTCCCATAATAGTTGTTTGCCCGATCTCAACCCAGCCTCGTCAAGCATGCCCCCAAACTGTGTCGTGGCACCAAACAAGAACGCAGTGGTAAGTCAGCCAAAGTAATCACAAAGGCGAGTCAAAGCTGATCATGAAGTAAACTCATCTTGTGGACGCTTTTACAACTGTGACATCACCTTGAGGGTTAATCAACAAGCATGCCCCTGAATCATGTCGTTCACCAGATCTCAAACCAAGAGTAATCAGGTCAGCACACCAGTGGGACAACAACTTCTAGGTGCACCTTGTTCCATTGACAAGAAACAGTCCAAAACGTGGTACTGAACTGGTGAAGAAATATTCTCACAGTAAGCATCTCTTTTTCAGGAACTTTTGTTTTACATTAACAGAGCGAACAGAAAACATCAAGAGACTGAACATTCATGTCTAATGATGAAAGTTTACATGCCAAATGTAAGTACAAGTATTGGTTGAAGTCTAAATGCTGATGCTGTCAAAGTCATTGACTTTCAAAGACATATATGATGCTAGCGAACGATATGACATCAATCACAATGACATGGTGAACTGAAAGTACCAGAAGGAGTTGCAACTGGGCAACATCATTATTGTTGACTGTCACCTTCAACAATTCCATGAGACTCAAGGGCCGAAGGATAGTGGGTATTAGTTTTGTCTGTGATGGAGAAGATGTGAGTAATGATACTTTAAAGGAAAACAAGTTACTGAAAGACAGTATAACCACGAATAGAACTATGTCAAAGTCGTCGCCAACATCACACCTGCCACACCCTGTTTTTTGTAATTTCTTGTCTTGTGTTGGTGTGGGGAAAATAACAAATTTGATTAACTTCTTGCAATGTAAGAACATGAAAATGAAATAAGGGGGCAGTGCAGAGTCCAGCGAAGTGCGAAGCACAAGCACTCTAGTTCTATTTCACAGGACCAGCCCATGTTGGGCCATGTCCACTACGTTGGTTGGAACCGATTAGGTCTCAGTGTGAAGCGGAATTGGTCCTGAATATATTGAAAATATTATTGTGAATTTTCACAGGAGAAACTGATTAGATCCAGACTGGATTTCACAACAGGATTTTGGTCAAATTCATGAAAAAGGTGGGACTCATCACATGTACCAGGCCAGGGGGAAATCATGTCTTATGGTAAAACCTGTCATGTGGCAGATGCGATATTATCATGGATTCACTTTTCTCAGTGCATAAAATACAGGGGAAAGCAGGGGAAAGCTGTTGCAGAGGTCATAGGTCCCAATCTATAGAAGAACCCAGCAAAAGGCATTTGCCACTGCACCCTTGGGACGTTGTAACAGGGAATTTATCCCAATGTCACACAGGCTCACAGGGGGGACAGTAATCTCCTGCCTGCCTCTCTCAATCTCACCAAAGGTCCTTGTGGTACAGTGCTGTAGAGTTGTTGCGGCTGTATAGTTGTGGCTGTGCAGTCACAGGACTACCCCAACCACACTTGCCAATGTATGTACATGAAAGAATGAAAGAGCACTGTTTTGTAGTGCAAGGGTTTATCCCTGCAACAACGTTCCAGGCTTGAGAAAAAGAGAAAAATCACACCTTTCTAAGGGTACCAATCATTTGAAATCTGGTTCAGCTGTTGAAACGTTATAAGTGCAGACATTTCTGCACCCTGCACCCTCAACATGAAGCCTTGATGTTTTCTCAGCCAGTTTTGAGAATTATTGGCAGCAATAATCTATAGAAGAACCCAGCAATAGGCTATTGCTGCTGCACCCTCAGGGCTGGTGGCCTTGCACTGCTTACATGATATTCACACAATTGGTGTAAGTAGCAGAGGCAAGCAAAATCTTGTGAGCATGCATCCAAGTGCTTCATCAGTTACTCACTTAACTCACTTGTTGAGCCTTGAGGATTTGAGTAGGATGGTTCATCCATTCATGGTAATATTATAACTCAGCAGATAGCACAGTGTGAGTTGCACTTTAGTGTTATTACACAAGTAAGAACAATAAAGAGCGACTCTGCAGTCACATGACACTATAGAAAGCGCAGATTGAATAGAAAACAAGTAGAAATAACCACAACAGGTAATGCCATTCAGGGTCCTTGACCTTAGCCATTGGTGCCAGTTCCCCAGTGAATATCTGAACATAGCAATGCCTTCCTCCACTCTCCAAATCAAGCTGTAAGTGCATTGCCAACATTACCCTATGTTTTGCTCATCAGACCATTTCCAGAATGATTCAGTGTCCCTCATGTGACCAAAAATTCAACAATTGGAGATCCATCAAGGCTCACATATCTCATGTCCACCAGAAACACATCAAGTCCATGGGGGGAGAAATTATCATCACTTGCAATGTGCACACAAATAAGTTCCATTGCCCTCAATCAGATTGCAATTACAAAACTGAGTCCACCCAAGGAGCCTTGAGGCACCCCCTGTCATGACCAACAAATCCTGGGGCTCTATTGGTGGTGTGAATCCACTGACCCAAAACCCCTCCTCCAACCTGATGTCTGGCCCCCTGTCCTATCAAGTGAGACTTGGTCAACAATCTGACCCCAGACCTTGCTGGCATTCCGACCTTGCCGGCATTCCGACCTTGCCGGCATTCCGACCCGACCTTGCCGGCATTCCGACCTTGCCGGCATTCCGACCTTGCCGCATTCCGACCTTGCCGCATTCCGACCTTGCCAGCATTCCGACCTTGCCAGCATTCCGACCTTGCCAGCATTCCACCTTGCCAGCATTCCAACCTTGCCAACATTCCAACCTTGCCAACATTCCAACCTTGCCAACATTCCAACCTTGCCAGCATTCCAACCTTGCCAGCATTCCGACCTTACCTCCAGTTCCAGAGCCCTTGTGTCAGAACCGTGTGAAGGTTCGCCAAGGGTAGCTGTAGGCGACCAAGCGTTGCCCGCTAGTGGTAAGGGCGTCCTACACCCGACCGAGCTTTAGCGAGGGATAAACCCCACCGATCTCGAGGCCGAGGCTACTTAGGCGAGTGAGCCGGGATTTCGGCTTCAACGACTCTAGGAGGAGCATTGCGCCTTGTTCTCAACACGGTCCCGATACTTAGAAGGTCAGAGGTCTCGCGGGGACAGAGGTAAGCTCTAGGGGGTAATTCTAGTTGATTTCGAACTACAGTACAAGCATTAGTTACAAGCTGTATATAAGCGCTAGGAAACTGAATAGGGAATAAGTCGCCAGATCTCGCGGAGATTGCGGGCAGAGAAAAGAAGGAGGAAAACAAACAAAGAGCACGTGTTCAAGACAATGAAGGTCAAGCGTGACCTTCGCCGTGAGGTAACAAGGTGCGGCGAAACATGGGACAACAGGTCGCGGCGCTCTGCGCCGCTAGGTCGTTCAACGACAATCAAGAGAGGGGTTGTGGAGAGGTGGCGGGAAGTGGTTAGACGGCGACGGGCGGCGAGCGGAGTGTGCGGGGAGTGTTCGGGCGTGGGAGAGGGTCAGGGAGGAGGTTGTCTGGCCCCGGGGAATGCCGGGTCGTGACACCCTTGGCACTCCCAGCATCCAGTCCCTCTAGTTCCTCTTGCCTCATCTCCATCTGAACCACACCCATCACTCCACTATGTGGTCACAGCCATGCACTGCATCCAGACCTCTGCCTGCATTGTACCTCCACCCACCTCTGCACCCTCTGCACCTCTGATGCTTCTGGTTCCCCTCCACACCCTGTGGTCAGGTCAACACTCCCACTCCCCTCAGGACCTCTGCTGGTCATCAGGCTGTCCTTGGGACAGTACTGATGGATCCACCTCTGTCTCACAGACTTGTGTCAGCACCACACTAACTGTTATGGAAATGGGATTTTCCCATTTTTAGCCTCTTATGGGCTCTATGCAGTACAATATCACGTGACATGTATATAATAATAGCTGAACCATCAATTACTACCCAAAAACACTCCTGTCCATGTTATTGTAAACACCATTGTTATAACTTCTGTTACATTAACTGTAACACTCTTTCGATGTCATGGCCCTCTCCTGCACCCAAACACCATAGAAATGGGCCAATCAGGCTCCATTTTTATAACACCAACCCTGCTTATTTGTGGACTTGTATTGGTGCTGCATGCTGACCTCCACTTTTCTCCTCTGGCCATTTTTGTCACTCGGCAGCATACCATTCATTCCTTGCCAAGTGCCTATATTGTTCATCTATTCATTTGCTTAACTTGCCAATATTGGCACTTGATCCATGTGCTGATGCACTTCTTATTCATTCACTTAACCTGTCAATATTGGCACTTGATCTGCTTTTGCTTTAGTTCATTTCTTGCCTCCCATTTCCTGGGCTCTTGTCTTTATTCAGTTTGACAATCCCTGCTCACTTCCATGCTGGACTGACCGGCTTTCTATGTTTTCCTCCTGCCTATTTATATCCTGTAAATACTTTCAGGGACCTTAGTCTGAAATCAACTAGAGTACCCCCCTCTGAGTCCACCCTCATTGGGCTTGCACTCCCCAACGGGCCTGCACTGCCTGCATGTTTCACTTGAAGCTTGCCACAAGTGTCAGTCTGTAAGTAAGGGATCTCCCCCAGATGTCAAGCTCAGGGCACAGCACTCCCCTTGAGTCACTGAGGCCATGATCCCACTCTGCTCACCTTGAACAGCATTTCCAGATGCACTGCATATTTCCACCTGCACATCTGTGCATGTGCACTCCAACAGGCCTCTGCCAAAACCTCCAACCCTGACTCTGACAGAAATCTGTCTGTCTCTGACACCCCCACATAAAGCTCGAGTTTAGACACCTTGGCCCCCTTTCTAGTGGATCCTCCTTGAACAGCCCATCCTCCAGTGCCCTGTCCTTGACTGTGCCCTCCTTACATTACTCCTCTCAAGGGCCTCTTCTTTGTATTCCCCCTCTTTGAGTGACCCCTTCTCATATAGGCCCTCTTCCAGCAACTATGACAACAATTCATTGACTCTCATATTCCCTGAAGAATTCCATCATCTACAGCTGGGGATTGATTCCACACACAAACTGATTGTGTGCCAGGCATGCCAAGTATGTGTCCGTTGTGAACACCTCCTGAATCATGTAAAAGACAAGCATGAGAGGGCTGATCAGCTGCCTGGAAATGACAAGATTCTGGAGGATCTGGGTGTCCTTGAGGTAGTAGAGTGTCCAAAGGGCAAGGTTCACCCAATCCCATTGATCCCTATCATCAACAGCTTCATATGCAACTTTCCTGGATGCCTATTTGCTGGCGAGAGAAAAGAATTGATTCTACAAAACCATGTGAGAAAACACCACCTAACCTTCAAACCTGAGGGCTCTCAGACCGTTCTGAGCTTTATTCAGGTCATTTACAGTGGCCACAATGGCTTTCAGGCTTGGACAGTACATGGTGCCCAGCTCTCATCCTTTAGTGCCCATGAGATCAAGTTGCAGAGATTCTTTACAGAAATTTGTGAGAAGGAGGACTCTAGGTGGTGGCCCAGTGGCATTATGGAAGCCCATGATCCATGCCATGTGAATGTTGTAGTCCATCTACCTCTTGTTTGATTCCCTTTTCTTTTCTCTTTATGTGTTACATGACTGCAGAGATGAACTTTATCTGTTGTATAAACATTACAGTTCATCTCAGAGGTGCCATAACCTGAGTTATAACAGTGAATCCCTTCCTCACAATGTG